ATAGTTTTGCTAGCCCGCCACCTACTTATAAGTGTATATATGTATATGTGTATATGTTCGCTCATATATTTTTACGCGCGTATATATGCAGATGGAAAGAGATGTGTCAAACAGGAGACCCGCAACTTCCCATATTCCCTGGAGAGTCAAGCTGCCTGAGTTCTTCTGCAAAGTCCTTGGGTCATGTGACCCTAAACCATACACTCTGAACTTAGGAAATGGAAATTGGGAGTAAATAGGTGCGTGTGGGAATAAACAAAAATTTATGCATGACACTCAGCTCCTTATACCTTGGCCCTAAACCCTAAACACTGAACCTAAAACCCTAATGGGACCACGATATATCAAGGTCATGCGGGATATGGTATCCCAAAAAAGGGGCCCCATATAGACACCCAAGTACTATAATCCTGACTATTGGGGCCCCAAAATGGTACCCCTAAATTTGGGCCCCCGCCCCAAATTGACAATAGTTCTTGAGGTGGCTGCACAGCCTTCGCAAGCAGATTTGTACTGTAGAGAGGGGAACCTATAACCCTAAACCCTAAACCCTAAACCGGTGGGAACCTATGGACCTTAAGCTCCAAAATCGAAAGCGAGCCGAGAGCTTCGAAACATACGCCCGTATGGCAGCTTCGGATTTAGGTTGTATAGGGTTTAGGGATGAGGGTTAAGTGCTTAAGGGTTTAGGGTGTAAGGGTTAAGGGCTTAGGGTTTAAAGGTTTAGGGCCAAAAACAAAACGCGCAAGGGCCTGCGCAGGCATGAAACTAATTCCTGCCGTCCGCCAGGCAACATAATCGGGTCCTACTGCCTGTTTGTACGATACTGCTGCTACGACCAAAGCGACGAAGACTGACAATGATTCTGAAGGATTGTTCTTCAACAGATCAAAACCGGCGTCTCTGATGACCTCTCGGTATGCCTCCGTGTCGCCGACCTACAGGGATTGCAGGAAGATGATAGAAAAAGTTGTACAACACTGTGAGGGAGGATATCGCAATGCTTCCCAGACCATAAGCATCTTTTTCCAGCAGCACAACTAGCGACCCTAAACCCCTAGACCCTAAATCCTACAACTGCAGTGAATCCCTAGGGCTTGGTGCGGAGATCATGAAAGGATAAAGTGAACTTCGTCATAGACGATTCATGACAAACAGTTGAGTTCTCAAACTCCTCTGTGCGGATTCTTGCATACAAGTAATTTATGGTCTATAGCCCTGCTGGAACATGCATCTGGGCTTTGTAAGCCGTGGCCCGTATATCTAATTTCCAGAGGAATGCTGGTTTTGCATGCAAAAATGAAACTACTCTTCCGCTTCTTTAAGTTACTGCGTGCGATACCCGGGACTTGATCGGACTCACCTGTAGGAATTATCGCCTCCCCAATTACATTACAACCACCTCCATCTAGCAATGCTATCAGAATGTATATAACGACTGGGGGAATATCATTGGTAAAACTCGCACATAGCTAGGATTGGATGAGCTCCATTTGAACAAACATTCACAATTGTCCTAGGTGGTCCACGCAAGGACGCTAAGCGCAACTGATAGCACAGGTACTGCACCGAAATGATGGCACTGCATCCCTCAAAGCATCCCGATGTTTCTCCTCCTGCTGCTGCTCCTATAGATAACAGCAAGCAAGACGGCCTGCCCATACGGAAAGAACGTGAAGACTAGCAGAGGAAGAGTGCAACAACATTTTTCTGCCTCCATGAAGCGGCTGCAAGCACATCGTACAATCCCTGCTGAGGTAGGGTTTCGGAAGTACAGGGGTTGAGGTTTAGTGTTGGGGGGCTGTAGGGTTTGGGGCTTAAGTAGCCCACACCAACATTACGGTCGCGCATTGCTGCTCGCATTCAGAAGTCTAGTGTGCAGCGACCCTAACTTTATGTAGTAGTCCGCATCCAGGTCCAGAAGCACGTAAAAACGTCCCAAAGACCTATTCCACGAGATAAAAATGTTACATTCTGTAAGTACTGTAGGTATATCCATTCCAACAGTATGGCAGGCTACAAGCTATAATTCTTAGTACTTGGCATGTGACAAAACGAACAAGCACTAAACCTCAAACCCTAAAACCTGAACCCTAAATGAACCCTAAACACTAACTCAAACCCTAAACCCTTAACCTTAAACTTAAGCCCTACCCAGACCCCCAAAAGGATCTAAAAATTAGATCCCCTAGAACCATATGGGAATTATATAAGGATTATATAGGGGTTATAATGGGTCTATATATGGGATGTAATTTTCAGATCCTCCCAGGGGTCTGGGTAAACCTCAAACCCAGAATACCATTCCTGCGCCTCATGGCCATGGTGCCCTGCGCAGTCGAGCTGTGTTTCTGTTGGGGAGTCATACCTACAGGGTTTAGAGGGTTTAGGGTTTAGGGGTTTAGGGTTTAGGGCTTAACCCTCCAAATGTGTGGCCCTTTGGGCTGCTTTAGGGCGTTTCATAATTATGCCCTGGTGGTGTTCGACGTAGGTACAGTTCGTAATTAGTAGAGATGTACATGTCGACAAGGGTAAACGCGCTCTGCTTTACCGGCAGCAAGAGGATTTCACTTCAGCATTAAAGTCAAAGCGAAGTATCGCGGGGCCGCGAGATCATGTCTGTTCCGGATTGCAACTTAAGGCCTTGCTGCCCGCTGAGGCAGAGGCTATGTCCCGCAAACTGGGTTGCTGTTACGGAGCTTAAGCCAGAAGAAGAGTCTACCACCTACAAAATACATGGTACAACATGGTGAGCTCCCTGATTGGAGAGCATACCAGAAGGGGCATTGAGTCCGCGGCGCTTCAAGCTAACAAACATCATTCTGGGGTTGAGAAGGCCAACATTATAGGTGTTGGGTGGCTTAGGTAGTTATATGCAATACTCCTACTGTAGCTCTCAACTCAATGAGGCTCTGTTGGTTTTGGTAGGTCAAGGAACGTATCATACCATACTCCAAACCGGAAACCACATGGGAGCTCTCCCTAAACCCTTAAACCCTAAACCGTGTGTCCTGCGTCTAGCTGCAAGTTGACGCACTGCTGCATGATGTCAACCTGCACCAACAAAGGACCCAACTACCCAGACCCCCAAAAAGATCTGAAAATTAGATCCCCGAGAACCATAGGGGGAATTATAGAAGGAGATATACACGGGTTATCATGGGTCTATATGGGGGATCTAACTTTTGGATCCTCTCAGGGGCCTGGGGTCTGGGTTTATCTATTCGCAGCATTAGGGGCCCCTATATGGGCAGTGACAAAAAGGGAAAATGATGCTCGGACCACCGCCCACACATTCTATTCGACCATGATCCCAACAGTCACAAGTTGCTGGGGGCCCAGCGTGTAACATGTAGGGCCAGGGCCTGATGGGGCAAAACCACAAAACTGCAAATCTGGAATGGTGGAGCTAATGGCAAAGCAGAGTCTGCTGCAGAGTCATGACTGGGCAGCATATCCCCCAAGAAGCTGAAGCTCCATTGTTCTCTTGGGGCACTTACTGTTGCATTTTTCTATAAAGAGGGTTCTGAGCATAACCTTCGGCTCCCCCAGAACGGGTTTAGCTCATACACTTATGAGCTGATCTCTCCAGTACAACAATCATTCATCATTCTAGGAGCCATATAGGAATTACAGAGGGGGATCTAGGGTTTGGGGCAGTTATTTATCCAAATTAGAACTGGTATTTCTATCCTGCTGCCTGTCAGGTGGGTAACTCTCAAAAATTATGGGCCCCTTGTGGGCATATATTATATCACGGCAGCAATAGTCAGGGGTACCAAAATGGGACCCTAATTCTGGGAACTACCCATGTGCTAGTCGCATGCAGGGAGCAGAAATGCTGGGTCAGTGTGAAAGTTGCTAAGTACTTCAGCAGACAGGCTGATACGTCCTCACTGGTTGACTTCCTCTTGTTTGAGCTATATAGTCTACAGTCCTAGTATCCCCCTGAATAACNNCCCTTAAGGCGTTTAGACTATAGCTCATTGGAGTGTGTCCGGGAAAGCAAACTCCCTGGCGCGCACGTTTTGTCTTGTCGCGGGCTTCTTTTGTGCAGCACAGCCCGAATTGAGGAAAACCAGCCACAAGGGCAAGGGCCTTTTCACAGCTTCACAGCTTGCATGCGTTAAAATCGACTGCTGTCTGCGCTAAATCAATCAAAGCGATGCAAAAACGAGATGTCACCAAGGGCCAAGGTTTTTTGGCAGGCTAGATAGCAAAATTGATTCCTAGTCGTGATAACAGTAATGATAACACAAACGCTAACCGAATAGCAATCATGGCCCCAACACGTAAAGATGTGGATAGCACAATGGCGATTATTGGCACAGTTGTCGCAAAGGCTTGACCCCGACTTCAGTAGTAACTATCTCTGGAACAAGGTATTCGTAAAGAAAAGGCTGTACACTGCAAACTTACATACTTAGGGGCCTAAACCCTAAACCCTGAATCCTAAACCCTAAGCCGTAAATCCTAAATCAGCCCAAGCCCGTAGGCAGGGAGTTCTTTAGACAGTTTTTTGCCTAGCGCGCTCTTCTGCTATCGCCCTTTTTCCCACACAGGCTTCACCTCCAAACTCCCAAGCCTTACTGGGGGTTAGTCAGGAATAAAGATGAATATTTATATACATATATATATATATGTATATAGGGCTTTTCTACAGCGCCTCTATAGGGATTCGGGCGTAGGGTTTGTGGAGAATACTAAAGGAATTATATAGGGAGTATAGTCGCTTTTTCACGATTAACAACCGCAGCAACTGTGAAATCTAAACTTTGTGTGCTCAGCGCCTGGCATCCTTGCAAGGTATCTGACCCTCTTTCATGATGTACAGTCCCCCTTAAGTAGATAGAATATGGGTATGTGGGGGTCTTTATCATAATATACCCAAAGGCATATTCTATCTACTTAAGGGGGACCATACATCTTCCGACACAAAAGTCTTGAACTTTGGACCCTTGATCTCCTCCCTGACACGAAGCGCCCGAAAACCTAGGCCCTCACGTGATGACGGTAGGCTTGTCACGGCCGGTATACGACTTCAGGTTAGACAGCTGAAGCGCAACGTCTGCAAGAGGCTTCACCACGTCGAACTGGTGCATGCCAAGGTTGCCTTCACTGGTTTTAATTCATGGGGGGGGGTCCCAGAATAGTGTTTTATGGTTTATGGGGGTATATATGTTTATAGAGGGTTTATACGGGTTACAGGGTTACATAGGAATATTGGGATACTATAAGGATATCCCAATACTGCAGAATCAAATGGAAAATGCAATGGACACCGGGGCGATCTGGGGTTTAGGGTTGAACAGTTTAGGGCTTATGATGATTAAGCGGAAAGGGCTTTGGTGTGGGGCCTAAGCACGAGGGCGAAAGGGGTTTGGGTTTAGTCAGATCTTGGGGGTGTGGGGCGTAGTAGGGCCATAGGGCTTAGGACTTCTAGGGCTTCAGACTTGGGTAATTAGTGGGGTAATTGTGGACCCTTGTTGGGGACCCTGTACGGTAGTTCTCTTTCTTGACAATGCCTCCCCCTACACTGCAGGGCGCTGTTTTGTTTTGCGCCATGGGCTTTGAAATCCAGAGGTGGGAGATTTGTTATGTGTAGCTCCAAATTCCAAACAGAATGACACCCACCCAGCTAAACACATGCACACAACTTGACGCATGAATCTTTTGGAAACATACACAAATTCGCTCAAGTTGGGGTAGGAATCCTTCCTCACGCAAAGGTAGCTTTCGAGGGCCAAGGACCGCGTGTCATTCACCCGCCAACTATGGGATACTCACCAAAAAACAGAACAGAAACCCCCTACACCCTAAACCCTCATAGGAGTCCATGCCCGAGGATTCTTACTCTCCTTCCCCTAATATTAACCCCTAACATCAAATACTCCCAATATACTATAATATGCCTCATAATGGGAATATTTCGTTGCAGGTACAACCTGTTGAAAGCCAAAGCCTCAAACTCCCCTGAAAACTCTCCTGGAACCCCCTCCCCACCCCCACCAAAAAAAAAATGTGCCTGTAGGGGGCGTATACTTCTCCAGGTAGAGGCGTACCGTGGCGCCAGCCACTCCGGTACCCGAGAGACGGAAGATGATCCTCGCACACATGCGCATAGTCAGCTTAGGGTCTTTTTTTGTCTTTTTAAGGTTTTAAGGTTTAGGGTGTAGGGTTAAACCACCTTTCATGACATAGGGCTATCCCAGGGGCCCTATCAAGAGTGTATTTAGATGGATCCCCCAAAAAGCGGTCCTCCTGATTTTGGGAAACTCTGCCTGTAATAACGCTATAACCCTTAAACCCCTAACAACAGGGTTTAGGACTTAGGGCTTTCTACGCGCGTGCGGCCGCGGCAGAATGGTCAAGCAAATCATGACAACAGCTCTCTAAACCCTGAACCCTACTACGGGGCCTTTTCCTCCTGCGAAGTTGGAAAGGCATACTGGCTACGTTCTGAAACCCTCAACCCTTCACCTCGCGGCTTCGGGACATTTACGAAGCTACTTGGATAGATATCTCTGGAGAAGCTCACCGGGGCTGTAGGGCTGCAGCCCTAACCTGCATCCTCAGTTGCCTACAGTTCACCCCACAAGGAGATAAAATAGTCCATAAAAGCAACCCAAAAGGCTATTATTCTACATACTTTTGGGGTGCAGGTAGTAACTACTAAACTGCCCTTACTTGGGGTTGCATGATAGGGTTTGGGCTTAAACCTTGCGCGCTCGGCTTGGGCATCAGCTATGCTAAGGCATATCCTAAGCCCAACCTGGATTTACAACTTCAAGTCCCGAACTGTTGCTCATGTCCAACCCTAAACCCTAAACCAGTATCAAGGAGGAGCCTTGAACCATCTTCGAAGATGAAGCGGACGCCTAAGCTCATGTTGCAGCGTTTCAAACTGGGCACTCCTTTGTATATACCGTATCATACTACAGTAGTTTCCATTTCATTTTACATTATCCCAGTATAACCCCAATGTATTCCCTATAATCCCTATATAACCCCCGTATATTATATGATCCCTACAATCCCTATATAAAGGCCAGGCTGGGATGCGCGTTGGTCCCTAAACACTGGGCCCTAAACTGTTTAAATGTGATATGCGCCCCGCATCCGCGGGTAGGATTACAGCTAGCCTTCCTGGAAAGCCTGGTTGCAAAAAATCATGGTCAGTGTCAGGGTGGTAGGGTAAGGGTTTAGGTGTGGGGTAGCCGCTTTAGGGAACGTAACCCATGACTAGAGGCTACTTGCTCGTGAGGAACCCTAAACCTCAAAACTCCGAATCCATTGTCTTTTCCATTGTCCCAATAGAACCCCTATATAACCCTATAGATACCCAAAACAGTGCCTTGTGAAATGCTGGATATCCTATTGTCTCATCCTTCGGCCAGATAGGGGAATCTAGTCTCAAGGTTGTTTTTACTGCTATCCTCACCTGGGATTTAGGGTGCAAGGCAAGTAGATGCGTTAAGGCTTCAACCTCTGCATCACCTCCAGTTTGCTTGTAGGACTTTCAGGTTTGGGCACGTGCTGCTTCAAGCTCCACACGGAAGCGCACGTCTTCAGCGTTGAAGATGTAAAGGGTTCGGCAGCTCAGAAGCGTGAAGCCTTTACTTATAACCCCACATATTAGCTTGGGAAATGAATCCAGTTGAAAGGAACATGTGCGATGGACTGAAAGTTGCTGCTTGTGCGGTACTGAAACCCGAATACTGCATGGTACTGCCCCCCCCCTCAGTGACAGTTGGATAATAAGTATAATATGGCTATATAGCCCTATAGACTGTTACTGGGGGGGGGGGTAGTACCCAACCTAAACCCTAGACCCCAGCCAAAACAGGCCCTCTGCCTTCTTGGCCAAATCCCTGCAGTGTTAGTGTTTGATGAAGCCAGAGCTTAGGGTGCAGGGTTCATACTACAGTAAAAATCCTGCATGACCTTAGTAACTTTGCAGAGTACCAAAATTCCCAAAGTGCTTAAAATCATGCCGGAGTTTCAATATCTACCGCTTGTGATTGCGAAGCCCTAAATCCTAAAACCCCAAACCCTAAAACCCTAAACCCTGATGGGCTTCCCATCCTTGCCGGGCAACCCTGATTCTTGGATACGCTTCCATCAACCGGGTCGTTGTATTCAAAGACCTTGCAGTCGTGCTTTAGGCTGAGGACCCTAAACTCTAAACCCTAAACCCTACACCGCAAACTCCCTGGCCCTAAACCCTTAACCCTAAACCCCAAACCCTTCAGGTGCAGCATTTGGAGATGGTGGGCTGGGGGTCGAGGATTCCTGGGGGTAAAGGGACAGAGTGAATCAGGACGAAATATCGGGTGGGGGGGGGTCTAGCCCAGATATACCGGGAACAGAAGGAATAATACAAGCAAATCTTGTGTTGAAATACCTGCTAGGAGAGGTTCAGTGTGCGTGTTTCATGTTGAGGGCGTATGGAACAGGTGGGAAGGATTAGTGTATGCTACCTTCAAGGGGCATAGAAACCCTAAACCCTATGTTTAGAAGGCCGCAACTCGATGTGAGAATGTGAAGAGCTGGTGTGGAGAAGGGCTTAAATGAAACTTTGCCCTTAAGTTACTTTTCCGCGAATCGAGAAAGTATATATATGGAGACCGGCATTCTACAGCAAGCCCACTATAGGACCCGTACTAGAATGATCTTCGCTAACCCCCACATGGTATACTAGGATCGCGGGATGTACAAATGCCTTGAGCAAAGAGTCCATAACCCACTCCGTATGAGCACGTAACCCTGGAACCTCATATCCAAACCCTCACGCCCCCAACTTATGCGCAAGAACAAAAAGAGTCATCGAGACTGCCGTTTTTTGAGACATAGGTTTCGTGGTAGTTTGGGAGAGGGTAAGCAAGGCTCCTCCGATTTTGGCGAGCGGCGTTTTCTGTGGTTGCTTGAGCCAAGAAAGTGATCTCCCTCTATACAGCCCCAAACAAAATCCTAAACGCTAGGCCCTTAACCCAAACTAAATACTACTCAGGTGAAAGGCGTCGTTGATCTTGATCTTCATGTTGCCATAGGACTTCCCGACGAGTTGGCCTGGCGGTTCAGGGGTTAGGCATGTAAACCCTTCCCCTACATGAATGAATGAAGCCCCAAAGGTGGACAAGGGCTTCTTGTTATACTTCCCAAGCCAGGCAGAAAACCTGAAAGAAATCTGGATGAAGTTTTATGTATGAGGGTTGGTATGGTGACCATTCACAAAACATGGAGAAGCATCCCTTGTAGAAGCCGTTCACACATGTCACAGTTCCCGCGGGCCTCGAGCAGAATGCACTGAACTGTCAAAAACCAAAGTATCTGCTTATTGAGTTTCCGGCTGAAAGAAGGATTGTTCATAGACTTGGATTCCAGGGTAAACAACCCAAGCACATCTCCTGCGTATACCCCACTAATACGATATTAATATCAGGATCGCCCATGAGGGCCCATATTCAAGGCTTCTCCACCCAGTCAGGAGTACGGCGGGTAAAAACAACTTTTAAGGTTTGCTTCTGAGTCAACGAAATAAAATGAATTGTAAGCCTGAATCTCAAGTGCAAACCTGTAGGCACATTACAAAAAAAGATACCAGCTTCTCATAAATCTCCAATATAGAACCTCAGTTGGGGCCCCCCCATGATTCCTGCTGTAATCCCCTCACATATGTGGGATTCCTATGCGCTGGCAATTTTGAAGAAGCTCGAAGGCTGCTACCAACCCTACAGTGTTTTTTACAACGTGGATATGGGTCCCACTAAGCCCAAACCACCATTCAGGACTTTTGGGGGAGGGCTCCTTTGAGGGGCCCAACCTTAAACCCTAAACCTTACACCTCATCAACCCTTCTAGGCCCTAAACCCTAAATAGTAGTTTCCATTTTATTCTCCACTCTCCCAATATAACCCCCATATAGCCCTAATATTACCCCATGGGTACCCAGCCCAGTTCGCCTGACTTTCCGGACATCATCTTCATCATATCCTCGGCCTTTGCCTTGTCAACGCCTGGCACAGGAAGGCCTGATCCTTTCTCGAAATAGGAGCCACTAGCAAGGATCCTATACAGGAAACTTTTTGAAACATTCCAAGCAAGCTTAGGTTTCGGGGATGAGGGTTTAGGAAACATGCTTGAAGGTGTAGAGCTTGTGAAGCCTTTGACTGTTTCTCCATCAAGAGACACCTCTTCTGCACGACGCGCGCAATAGATGATTACTATTGTAAGGACAGACGCGCATGCACAAGGCATTGGGCCTTCGTAGTCGTAGCGAGCGTAATAGTTCCGCCCGTAGGTCCTCAAGCAGTCCCACGACAGCTTACAGATTCATAGACACGTATACCGTATACATGCACCACACAAGTATCCTGGAGTGTAGTGGTATGTGGCCGTCTCACCAAACAGCGGGACCCCAACATAAACCCCAAATTACTATAGCCCTTATAATTGGGACGCCCAAGAAGGTAGCCCTTTCTGGGAAACCCTACCCCCAATATACGCCCTATACAAACCCTTATAAGCCCTACACATCCCCTTTGAAGGCAGAAGTGAAAGGTGCACGGCTGCACTTGTACAAGTAGTCTAGTTGTTATGCGCAAAGTTTGGGGTTTAAGGTAACCGCAGCCCTCTAAACCCTAAACATCCCTAAGCCCTAAATCCAAAACCCTCTTATCACCCTAACCCTGAAACAAGAGGACGCCGGAGTGGGCATTCAGATTACCTGGACCCCAAGTATAGGTAGAATAATTGCCTTTGGTGCCTTTGTTAAAGGTTTTGGAATGTTTTGGGCGATTATTTTACCTACTTTTGGGCATTCTGATTAAAGGCTCTGGTGGAGGGTCTGAAGCCGGGCCACATATCGGTGTGAAGTATAACAGCTTACAATCCCCCTGAAGTAGATAGAATATGGCCTTGGGTATATTTTAATAGGATCCCCATATCTCCCATATTCTATCTATAAAGGGACGAAAATGGGTACCCCAAACAGGGAACCCCAAGAATATAGTAGGAATATAATAAGAATATACCTACCCGGGTCCTTATATTCCATTATATTCCTGCTATATTCTTGGGGTTCCGTGTTTGGGGTTCCCATTTTGGTTCCTTTTAACCTACTTGAGGGAGACTATACTTGATAATGGCCTGCCCCAACCTGACATGCGCTTTAGGGTTTAGGGTTTAGGGTTCTATGCTGTGCTATCAACCGCAGACCCTGAACACTAAACTGCCCCAAACCCTGTAGCGAAAGCCCTACTCCCAGACTTGCACGGGGTTGCTCTTGGAATCGACAAGATTCCATGATTTGTGGCATCTGGCGTAAATTCCCCCGTAACTTACCCACTTCTAATGTGGAGGTCTACAGGCTTCGCTATAATTGATGGCTACCAAAGCCTAGTATGGAACTTCACATAGACAAATTGAAGGGACAGCAGCCTTTTGGATATCTCTTCCGGCCTTCCGTGCTTGTTGCGTTGCTGCTAGGACTTCGAACTCAGAATTCAAATTTAAACTCGACTTGGAGGTCCAGGGCGATTTTTTCTAACCCAGGTAGAACGGCGCTAGAAAAACCCGAAACCCTAAACCCTGAGCCGGTTGTACGTATAGCCCAGGTCTACGCCTCCAAAGTTGCGCCATAAAACTATTGGGTATTAGAAGTACCTAAAGGTTTTGGGTCTTAAGGGTTTAGGGTTGGGCCATACAAGCTATACATTGGTTTAGGGGTTTTAAGGGTTTAGGGTTTAGGGCTTAGGGTTGGGCTATACATTGGTTTAGGGTTTAGGGTTGGGCATCACATTGTTTCACCGTTTTAAAGGTTCAGGGTTCGGGCTTGGGCTATAAATACCCTGAACCTCTAAGTAACTAGGGCCACCATTCCTCTTAGACAAGTTGCTTCCAGTGCTGATTTGCCACATCCTCCACAGAGACGAGCTTGCCGGCCTCTCACTGAAGAAGTACCCTCGTCCCAAGCAACATGGAACCCTTTTACAGCCTAAACCCCTAGGCCCTAAACCCAACAACTCTCAACCCAGAAACCCCTAAAATTCGGTAAACCCAACCGCAAAATCCGGCCGGTGGACATAAGGTCCTCTTTGCAGAGCTATGTACATTTTACCAAAGGCCTCTCACTGTCTGCAGGGGGCTTCTAGTCCAAAGTGTGAATGCAAGATGACGGCCGTGAGGAGGCTCTCCTTCACATGGGGCCCGGACCTATGAGAGAATGGTTTCCCGTCAAGGTAACCAAGCCAGTCGTAACTACAAGGAAGCCACTTTTCATGGGACCTTGCATCGTAGAAGCCAGTATTGTGAAATTTGGGCTGAGTTAGTTACCCCCATTACGAACCCCAATGGCGAACCCCTCATCATGCTTCAAACGCTGTATCTTACTTTATAGCTAGAGCCCAAGCAAGGATATATAGGGATAGGTAAGCTTCTTGAATAAGCCAATCTGCACATTCATGGTCATTTTCCAGTTGCCCCGAAATCTAACGAAAGGCTAGCTCGCCCCCATGAACTCGCCCTTTCAAAGTAGGGTTTAGGGTTTAAGGGTCTAGGGTTCAGGTTTAAGGTTCAGGGTTTAGACATTAAACTTCAAGAAGCCTGCGAGGCTACGAGGAACTGGGATCCGTCGTCTGCTCTGTCTAGCTTGCCACAAGACGTCAGAGAACCTGAAACCATAAAACCCAAAACCCTAAACTCTTTGATGCCCTGGTAACCCGAGACCTTCTTTGGCACCGGTACTCGGAGAAAATCCACCCACAAACTCTTCGCGGCCCGCCACTGTATAGAAGCGTAAATACTCTATAGGCCTCAACCCTCCCCCTTTCTCAACCCTAACCCTACAGAGCCCTGGCGCTTTCAGGAAAAGCTCATCTGCTTTCAACCCCAAACACTAAATCTCAAAAGCCGAAACCTAAACCCTAGGTCCTCAACCTTACATCCCAGACCCTACCCCTTGAACCCCTAAACTCTAAACCCTTATGAGCTCTAAACCCCTAATCCTAGACCCTAAGCCCCTAAACCACAAACTCCCCCCCGTTGCCTGTTCCGTCTTCTTTGCTAAAATCTGTAGCCAGGCCAAGACGGCCCAGATGCCATCCTTGTGCATGGGCGGGAAACCAGGGTTTAGGATTCGGGGTTGGGGTTTAAGGTCTAGGGGTTTATGGGGCTTAGGTTTTAGAGGTCTAGGTTCAACTTTTACAGCTATAGAGATTTACGGTATATAACTCATTATAGTAGTTTCCATTTTCTTTTCCATTATCCCCATATAACCCCAATATAACCCTAACATTACCCCATATTCTTTCTACTTAAGGGTGGGGGACGGTGCCTCGGGCTTGGAGGTTTGGAGCTTGTCAGCGGTAGCTCTGGAGGATCTGCTAGAGCTTGGCTATGGCCGCTTGCACCCGAAACCACCAGCTTCCTCCGACATGGACCCCCGAACAGGCATAGAAAACCCCTTGCCTCTCATCCATTTGGACCCTAAACCCTACACCCTTAATCCCTAAGCCTAAACCCTAAATCCGTTGGGCTACAGTTTGCCGCGGACGTGCCCAGCCTTCTCCCGCACATGATCTGCACCAGTTCCGAAGGACTCTTCCCCGCAGATGAAAGGTGTGTACTGAGGCCTGAGATAAGCGTTTAGGGTTGACGGTGAAGAGATAAGTTTCCCCAAAATTGGGGGGTCCTTTTTTGTGGGGGTCTCCCTGATAAGGAGTAAGAATTTTGGGGTTTAAATTGAGTCCCCCTGTTTAGGGAAAATATTGGATAAAACAAATTTCTGGACATAGGACCTAAGCGTCCAGCGCCTTCATGAACATGTACCTCTCCAAAATTTGCACTACGACTACAACAACCACTATTGCTGCTCCTACTGTAGCCATGAATGCGGGCGGACATCTAGAACAGGCATCGGAAACTACTACTGCTACTAATAATAATGACAAATAAGGTATCACCTGCGGGCCACCAGCTTGTATTTACAATTGTGAGAACAAGGTCAAGGCATATGATGGCCTGGTGATCTGGCAAATATTGCGTAACCACGGCACACGAAAAGGATCAACAAGGAACAAAGTGGCAACTGCCTGTATGTACTCCCCTTAGGCTCCAGACTTCAGCCCAGAATGCCCAGCTCTATCTGAACTCTCCGCATAAGCGCTCGACAAGGCATACACGGCCGACACCAAATTGCCCGTCTGTGCCATGCCCTCACGAGAAATCGCGACGGCGTCTTAGCCATCTCAGGGGCACAAAAACATGCGCGAGCTTTCAGCAGATCCCTATTAATTCTTCACCTCCAAATGCAGTTGCTTATGCCTGAAGCCCTGAACGCCGAAATTACACCCGCGAACTCATGGACCCAAGACATTACGCCCCAAAACACATAGACCAAAGATCTGAAGCCCCCCAAAACGCCTTCAAGGCTGAACAAAAACCCAAGCCCTCAAACACTAAACCTCCAAATCCTCAAACGCAAAACATGCCAACTGAACGGCCCATAATACAGACGCCTACATACTTGTGGGTAGAAATATACAAGCAACCTGGGAAGACAGTATAGACAGTCATCCATAAGGGTCCAAGGACCTAAATCATAGGGGTTTACGGCCAAATGCCATTGATGTTTTAATATTTGGGCCCTAAAACCCTAAAACCCTAAACCCTAACTTTAGGATATATTGACACCGAAAGCCGCTGGAGGGCTTGTCCGGGAAATATTGCGTGCCGCTGTCCATCAAGTTGCCAAAGAACTTCCAACCTCTGTTCCCCTCTCTTCTCCCTCTCCCGCCTTCTCTCTCTCTCTCTCTCTCTCTATATATACATATATGGTAGTTTCCCTAAATAAGGGGGACCCAATATAGACCTCAAAATACTATAACCCTTATTATGGGACCCATAAAAAGGTAGCTAATTGTGGGAAGCCCATATAGTTGTACCTGGGTGTATGACCACATCAAGTAGATATGCCAATGAACTACTAACTCTCGCTATGCATGAAGGCATGCACTCATATAAGCGTGTACACATCATGAGTGTGCTTTAAATTCCACGGCTGGGGTCTCCGATATTTCGCTCTATCCTCGCTAGTCCCCCCCCTTTCTTTGTCTAACGTGATTTTTCAGGGCCTGGATCCAACGATGCATGCGGCACCCTTTCCACAAAACTGGTTAGGCTTCAGGAACTTCGGGTTTTTGGGTTCAAAGTCCAGGGCACGGTTTTCGAGGCAGCTTGATACTCACCAGCCCAACCAGCGCGGGCTCAACGATTCTACAGCCTACAGCAACAAACGAACGAACAGACTGAAACATGCCCTGCGTGCAGAACTGCTGCGCAGATGAATGGGAAAAGCAAATGATTGCTTGGCTGAAGTCAGTGTTGACGAGAACCCCAATTCAGTCAACAATTGCAGCCGAAATTCCATTTACCTTATCCCAGCTGGCCATAAGCCCTTAAAGGGCATTCTTCCCTGACCACTGCTCTGTCAACAGGGCACCCCCCAAAACAGCAACCAAAGTGAAACTGAATCCAACCATAAACCGTTTCTGCAGCTCCTGGCAAAAATTGTCTGAGCCTCATCTCAAGTGAAGTGGCTGCTGATGAGTACTGAGCGGAAGCATGGTAGTCTTGTCTATACAATCCACAAGAGGAGTGGGTCCCCGTACTCCAAATCTTTCATTGCCTGTCAACCACTGCTAAAGCCCACATCTTGGATACTGCCTCCCGCCCTACAACCAAAATGCGCAGCATCCTTCGCACGAGTACGACGGAATTGGCAATAAATATTGAGGGGACTGGTATAATATGGCGGAAGAAGCCTGAACCCTAAAACATGAGCCCTAGACCATAAAATCCAAGCCCGAAAAGCGCTAAACCGACATGAACAGCGCGCGGTGCACCTGTGGGCACTTCAAAGCACTCGATTCCTTTGGCCTCGCAGAGGTGCAAAGGCTGAGATATGAAATGTACGGGCAAGAATAATTCGAACAAGGTTAGGGCTTAGGGTTGCTAATTGCACTTTTCCAGAATATATGAGTACATATATATACATATATATATATATAAATCACAATTACATAGTTGTTGTCTAACTGTCACTTGGTGGGGGCAGAACCTAGCCCTAAGCCATACACTAAAGGTCCAAAGCATACATGCACCATATACTCCCGAAAGGCCAAGTAATGATCATTATTAAAAGTTATCCCAAAATATATGTCGATAGTATATTGGGCCCTTAGGAGCTCACACGCCTTGGCCACCAGGTCCACAGCGCCACTGGTGGGCATAGACCGTGCGCAGCCCTTGAGGCCGGCCTCTGTCTGGAATTGTGGGTTTGGAGATTTGGGGGGGTGAACTCTAAATTCTATAAACCCTTACCGCCTAAGTCAACCAGGGCTTCCAACAGTATTCCGAGATATTGTCACAATACTATGGAACATGAGACTGCTTGTTCTATGTGTGCTCCTCAACAACGATGACGACCAATCGCCGACAACGATGATGATGCCGACGACAATGAGCGTAACAACAACCACCACCATAACAACAGCAACAGCAACCACCCCAAAAACAACTACACCGTTGATGATTCGTCCGATCACGTCGTAGCCTCAGCTGTTTTTTCGCCTATGGTGATCCAGGTTCGGCGTCCACGTCGTCTCCCACGCGGACACAACTAATTTGAAATAATGGATGGATTGAAGACTTTGGATTTTGGCTCTGAAGGTACCGAGAGGAGGAATTTGGGCGCAGGAGTTCACATCAAGGTGTTTCAATACTCGCTGCAAGGCAAGCATGTAGGATGATAGAATCTCAGCTTTGAGGCTTCTGAGGGGATACAACTATGATGCGCCTGGGAATGCTGAGGGAGGGCTTTTCCCCCACTAAGCCCCAAACCCTATCTAGCACAAAACAGACAGAAGCTTTAAAGCTAGTTGAGACCACGCAACCCGGAACTGTGGGATCAAATCCGCGTTGTCCACGATCATGGCCAAGGAGTCAGATGGAGAGATGAAGAACCTTGTGGTGCATCATCCCCCTTGAGTAGATAGAATATGGCTTTGGGTATATCATAAACGATCCCCGAAAACCCATTCTATCTACTTAAGGGCAGCTATAGCCCTGAACCCTGATTTAGGGTCTAGGGTTGTACTTGCATCATAATTACCAGGTCCCTAAGAGCAATCTTTCCCTCTTCGAAATCACCCAGGAGCGCCCCACAAGTTTCAAGGCCACCAGGCAAAGGCCCTAATCCTACGCTCGATATCTAAACTCAACATCCCCAGAGCCCTGTACGCACTAAACCCTACACGGATCCTGAGTATCTACCTAGTACAAAGTAGGGCTTCCATACTAATTAGGAATTAACAATCAAATGGTTTAGGTTCGTATTCCCTAGATATATATATATATACACATATGTATATATACATAGGTACTGAGAACCCTTTGGGTTAAAGCCTAATACCCACACTCAGCTCCGTGGTTGCTGATTGCTACACCGAGACAATCCCTGGGCCGCGTAGGCGTGTTTTGGCGCCACCGGGAGGCTGGGACATGTTCCATGCTTGCAGTGCAATGCCCCTGCCTACGCCCTAGGCCCGAAGACCCTAAACCTTAAGCTTCAAGCCTCAAACTCTAAGTTTCCTGCAGCCCTGGTATTTAAACCTTCAGCTCCTTCTTCGGAAATCATGTTCAAGAAGCTTCCAGTAAAGGCCCAAGGAGCTGTGATTTAGGATTTAGGGTTTAATGTTTACAGGGTCTATAGGGTCTATAGAGTAAGCCCAAGGAGCTGGCTGCTGAGGATCATATTTCGATCGGCATCTCCATCGGCTGCTGCCCCGAAGGAGGGAATTGGCTTGGAGCTGGAGATCTTCTGACCCTCCTTTCAACCAGGACCCTCCTTGTACCCTTAATTGGGGATAGATGGTCCCTAATAATGGGTACTTAGGCCCTTAGGAAGGTTTAGGGTTTAGGGCTTTCAGAGGTTTGAAGTAAGAGGAGCGGAAGAGCAAAGTGGCACCGAAAAGGACAACGGCTTTACTGTGGGGATTTGTAAGGGCTTGTGGACTTTGAGTCGAAGGTTGGGTCCTGGCCCCACCCATTAACAGTCTATAATAGGGGTCACAATAAGGGCTCTATATCGGAGTTTCCCAAAATTAGGGGTACCTTTTTGGGGATCCCCATAATAAGGATTATAGTATATTGGTGTCTATATTGGGTCCCCCTATTTAGGGTAACTACCATATAGTTATATTTTGAATATTCTCCAGCCGTTCATGAGTGGGGGCAGTGTCCCAGTCCAGGGGTCCTGATTATCGGGTTACCAGAATGCTCTGCTCATCACTTTGGGGTGTGGGTTTGAATGGCAACAGAGACCCATGAAAAACACAAAGTGGATAGTGTTCTCTCTTGTTCTCTCTCTCCCTGTCCCTTTCTCTCCCTCTCTCCCTCTCCCTCTCCTCCCTGTCCCTCTTACCCTCCATCCCTCCCTCCCCCGCTCTACCTCTCTCTCTCTCTGTTAGGAATTCCCCCTCCTTTGGGGAGGAGAGCTGCAGGCTTTGGGAAACCCAAAACCCTGAACCTGGGGTTTAGGGAGAAGGTGAAAGCCCCTGCGCATTCAAGTGGAGGTGATAGAGCTGGGTTGCGCGTATTTACCTGCCCTACAGAAGTTTCCATTTTCTATTTCACATTTTCTTCCCCCTTGGACATCCAAGTCTAAAAAAAAACTACTTTGGTCCCTTAATTCTACAAATGCTTCCTACTTGGGGTGATCTGTATGCCCAGGGTTCCCTGCTGAAACGAAGCAAACAGCTGGTGCATCCTTAGCCTAGCCTACAGCTAGCCATGAACCTTCAAATTTAAAGCTCACGTCCTCTGATTTGGGTTGGGTTTAGGGCTGGAGGTTTTAGGGTTTGAGGTTTAGGGTTTAGGGCTCAGGTTATTGGAGTTTAGATTTTAGGCTGTAGGGCACCGCCTTGTTAAGGCCCATCGTGGCCACCAGCTCAACTGCATAGGTCAAGTTCCTGAGTGTTGATCAGGGCTAACGTTCTGTGTACAGAGATATGAGCAACTATCCACCATACCAGGCATGCTGCAAAACAGAAGTGTAGGCAAAATACTTCTACACAGGATCTCCGCATGGCGTGCGACTTATGGCTCAGTGTCTGCTTTGCGCCGGGGGAGGTTGGATATTTGGTGGATCTTAGTCTCACAACAAATAAACGCATGAGACAGATAAGTGACAACCTCTTTAAGGGCCAAGGTACTGGACCCAAACATGATAAGACTTGACGCTTGGATCATGATTATGCGTTCCCACCCGCCCCCTACTATAGGGGTTCCCTCCGAATTCAGCTTGATCAACCCTATTTGTCCCCAAATAGCCATACTCCTGTGGGAAAATAAGCAGAGCTAAACCCCCTAAACCATGCAGAGGGGGCGGTAAGGGAACCCATCACTGGAGATCAGCTGATGGAAATGGAGACCCATGATCCAGGGTTTAGGCTTGAGCTGCTGTTGATACGCAAGCAGGCATGATAACACTAGCGCTATATGGGATTCTGCAAACAGGGGAACTTGCCATATATCCCAAAAGTACTATAGCCCCGTTACAACTAATTAGCACCAAACGGGCCCCCTAAATTCATGTAAGCTATGGTAGTTATGCGGGACTGTAGGAGGATACCTTACAAGCTGTCTTTTTCCTGATGTTTTTTTACGTCTCTTGCATGGCATTATGACAGGCTTCTTCGATTTGAACCCTTGACTGAAACCTCAAGCCCCCGAACCATGCCAGTCCCCCAATTTCAGACCGAGAACTGGAACCCTGCGTAAAGACCAAATCCTAAACCTCAGCCATGACAAGACCCCAATCTTATGTAGGGCGTAGGGTTTTGTGTTTGGGGTTTAGGGTTTGAGGCGCCTAAATCCTGAATCTGAACGACTAAACCCTAGCCTTACGACCTCTCTCTACAAATTCTGAACTCTAAGCCCTACCTAAAGCGAGCACCCTGCAAGTGGCAAAAGGATAGCTAAGGGTCCTAAAGCCCTAACCGGCCCTGAACCCTAAACCCTCAACCCTAAACCCTACAGTAACCCTTACCTGAACCCCAACAGTATGTAAAATAATAGCCCTAAACCCACAAAAACAGCCATAATGGCCATCATTTTACATACTTTTGACCCCTACACCCTAAACCCTAAACCCTTAAAACCTATTGCTTCAGCTACGCCCGAGGGGCGGGTCGGCATGGCCATGCCAAGCCGAGCTGGGCCCACCGAAGTCTGGCTTCCTTTGGGTTTAGGGGTTTGGGACTTGTAAAGGGTTTAAGGGTTTAGGGATTTAGGGCTTAGGATTTGGGGATTTGGGACTTGTAAAGGGTTTAAGGGTTTTTAGGGATTTGGGATTTAGGATCTAGGGTTTAGGCCGGGTTTAGGATTTAGGCCATAGGGATTTGGGACTTGTTTAGGGTTTAGGTTTAAAGATTTAGGGTTTAGGATCTATGGGGGTTGGGTCTAGGTTTTAGGGTGTTCTTTAGGGTTTAGCTTAGGCTTTATGGAATTGTATAGGGTCATGTAGCTATGCGGGATAGAGGGCCCAATATGGAAAATCGGATGCAACAGAAAGGGGAGCATCAAATGCAAACTGGGGTCCGGGTCCCTATAGATAATAGGATTAATAAGAACTGTCGTAATCTGAGGTCAATGTCGGGGTCTCCCTGTTTATGGAGACTATGAGAAGGGAATGAACATGAAGTGGAAGCTACTGTCGTATTTGGGGAAAAAGATGGAAACCTACTCTTGCATTGAAGCTTTTAGGGCTTACAGGTGCTGAAGGGGGAGCTGGGCGAGCGACTGCAGGTACTACTATGGCAACTCCGTGGGGATTATGGTGGTGATCCACTGCCCAATAAGCACCAGCAAGTCCTAAACCTGTGTCAGCCCAAAACCTTGTTAGTTCTTCCTTTCCAATCCCCCACTTCACCCTGAGCAACGGGACGTTGTAGGCTTCGTCTTCAATCCCAGGAACGTTCACGAGGTTAGGGCTTAGGGTTGCTGACACATAGATGGTTGGCATAGCATACTCATGGGTTACGGGCAAAGGTTCATTTTTGGGGAACCTAGAGGGTGGTTGGGGGGGGTATGGGAGTGGAGGAAGCCATGATAGATCATTCGAAGTAAAAGGGGGTGCTGCAGTACTCCATCGAGCCTAATCCCTCTACATGGCCCCGAAAGAGGGCCTTGTAGGGATTCTATAGGCCTACGTAGCGGACAGGAAAGGAAGCATTAAGCTCAGGGCTTAAGGTCTGAGATGACCTACTTAGAGGCTCATGGTATAGCAACTCTAAATCCAACAGTCTGTATATGCATGTCATATATATATATATCCCATGTAAGTATATCTTTCATGGGACCATGATACTGGTCATTGTCTAGCCTAAATTCTACAGTCTATATATCCCCTAAAACCCTCTTCTTGGGGATCATAATATCAGCCATTATCTAAGCCCCTACACATGGTAGCTGTTCAAAATACCAGCCATAATGCAGGTTTCCTGTTTGGTTAGGATCCCCCTTTAGGAAGTGTCTTCCCTAAGCGTTAATCAAACCGTAAACCCCTACACATGTAGCCAAGCGTCGGGTCAGCGTTTGTGCAGCTGCCAGGCTTTGCCCCAAGCTCCTACTGACGGGATAGGGGTTTAGGGTTTAGGAACCCAGACCCCCTAAAGGATCCAACAAATAGAGCCCCCCAGATATGAACCCATTACTACATTGGGGAAACTCGGGGATTTTTTGGGGGGTTCCATTTTTTTGGATCCGTTTGGGGGGGTCTGGGAATTAGGGATGCTCTACGACAGAAGGCATTCTAATTCCGTCAGGTTCCTGAGGGTCCAATATGGGGGTTGCCCAAGATTACGGGTACTGTTGGGGGTCTATGTTGGTCTCCCTATTTAGGGGAAACTACCATGTACAGTAACCTTATATTTTGGGTCCCCATAGTTTCTTGGGGTTTGGGCAGTACATGACAACTTTACCTGGCAGCCTAGGCGGGTTTGCTGTTAAGATATTCTAGTAAATTCTCATGATAAGGAAGTTATGATGTTTACCGTATATATGTATATTGGTAGCATAATCTACAGCAATTGAGACTCTACTACAGTATCCTCTGAGCACAAGGCCATACAGCAAGCGGAACATGTTACATGCAAAGAATTCAACCGCGAGCTCCTGGCCATACTCCTGTAGGCTTTACGTAGGCGGCATATGGAGTTTCCCAAATTCGGGAGAACCATCCCTCTCTGCGGGTCCACATAATAAGGATTATCTCGTTTGGGCGGTCTATGTGGGGGTCCACATGTTCTGGGAAACTAGCATATGCGGAAGTGAAGAAGCTAAGCGGGCATGAAGCAGAAGCACCAGAAAGTCTAGGTTTTAGGGTTGCGGGCGAAGCAGAAACACACACAAAAAAAAAAAAAACATCAAACAAGGCAAGGGGTCAGGTTAGACCTCGGTGCGTGAAACCAGAATACACTGACCATACAACGCACGCACAAATTTTAAGCGCACAAGCCTTGTACCCTGACCTTCTAATTGGTGACTTTGCATGCTGAACCCTCAGTTCGAAGCCCCACACTCCGCTGACAACAATTGCAACATAAGCTGTTAAGAACACGTCCTGCTCAATGATGCGCCTGGCGTAGGGCCCCTGCACCTCACAAACAGCTAGAGCTTCAGGATCAATATGGTAGCTTCCACAAATCAAGGGGGCCCCATATAGAACACAACATGCAATCTGCCTTCTAATGGCGAACCCCAAAATACCTCTCTTCGGGGAAGCTGCCTAGAGGATGTGTACAAAGCGTTTGGTTTACAGAATGGTGTAGCCAGCTTTACATGCTCAGCTAACAATGTTGACAGGCTCATATATATATATATACTTATAGTCCCCCTCAAGTAGATAGAATATGGCTTAGGGTATATTATAATAAGGTCCTCATGTACCCCACATATTCCATCTACTTAAGGGGCACTATAGGAGCTGTTGGGGTGGAACCTTTATCCGGCGCCCTTGTGATACGGTAGAGGGGCCACCTGACTACCTATCAGGTATATAAAGTGGTGGAGTTAAAGGTTCTTCCAGGCGTTCCTTTTAAAAAGCCCTCAGGGCTTTTTAACTCCACACATTTCCCCATATCGGTGCTGAAAGTAACGGTCGTACTGGTGATACAGCTTGGTGTTGTTGCCGGCAGAATTTCCCGATACAGCTGGAAATGATAGTCTCAGCGTGAAAGCGCCACCCGAAGACAGAATCACAATGTTCGGAAGCCTTGAAAAGGGACTTTGGCCCCAATCGCCATAAAAGAGACACTTCAAAAGAGTTATATATCGTCCCCCTTAAGTAGATATAATACGGCGTTGGGTACATTATAATAAGATCTCCATATACCCCACATTCTATCTACTTAAGCGGGACTATATAGCTATAGGGTTCCGATGTTGGGAATCCATGCTCAGTCCTCACAAGAGGTACCCAGTTCTCGAAACCTTTAACCATGAACCCTACATGTAACCCTAATTGCCTAAGGCTTAGTAATACTTAGCCCCTGATTAAATGGGTACGTACAACCCTCAGAACTGTACTGTAGTTATTTGGGGTTGCAGGCGAACCCCTTAACCCTAAACCCAGAACCTAGGCAGCCCAGGTCCCCTAAGTCGGGCCCAAGCGCTCCAGACATCGAATCGTAAACGATCGTAAAGTCCGGGCGTGCCATGAGCCTGGGCTTTCAGAAATCTTCAGCGCATGATCAAACCCAAAGGGCCCATGTAGGAATATACTACAGGGCTTAGCGTTTATACGGCTGAGGATTTGAGGTTTAGAGTTTAGGGCTTAGGATAAGAATAAAGATGAATAAAGCATGTAGTTAGGGCCCAGAAGCTTCTCTGGGCGCGGGGATGTCTGCACAATACTTTATGGATATGAAGGAGGTTAGGAAGGTGCGCATAGTTTTGGGGAACTACACTTCGGACTTCCTGTTCATGGAAATCCCATGTGTTGCTTGAGGGTTTGAGGTTAGAATGCAAACTTAGGTCAGCGTACCCATATCAGGGTCGGAAAGGTCAGGGTCCAGAAGCTGAAGTCTAGGAAAAATAATGTCAACGCCAAAGAATCCGATACATTGCAATGCTACCATGGGAAATGCTAAAGCACTCACTATACCACAGGATTGCAAGATGCGTGCACGAGGCGGCGATAGAATTCGCACCGATATAACGGTGCACAAGCCAAAACATGTCAAAACGATGGCCCCAAAACCCTGGAAAGAGTCAAACAAGCCACTCTGCTGTAGTTGCCATTCATGCTGAGCGACCTTTTGATGGAGTTGAAGTCAAAGCACTGCTTCAGGAGCTTCAAGTGATCCTGAAAAAAATGAAGGCTTCTGAGCATAGACGGCTCTAAGGGACTGTAAGTTAGATTAGGGCTTATAGAAGTTAGGGCTTCTGAGCGTAGATGACTCTAAAGCGTCCCTGAGTTAGGGTTTAGTGTTTAGGGTTTAGGGCTTCTGAACATAGACCGCTCTAATAAAAGGGTACTTGGTGAGGGTTTAGAGTTGAGGGTTTCTGAACATAGACGGCTCTAAAGCAGCCCAAGAATTCACAGGGATGATGGTGGTTTAGGGCGTAGGGTTTAGGACTATGGCTGACCCCTCTCTAACTCAACCAAAGTTCTGGAAACAGAAATATGGCACTTGGGGAGAAGGGGGATCCCTGACAACTTCCATATCAATTGACTTCCATATCAATTGGGAAATGTCCAGATTGAGAACTGAGGTGTCCTGACCGGTCACGCGCGGTATGAGTAGGTAGACTTTCTGATGCGAACAGGGACATCTTCTAGAAGATTCATTCTCCCTTAATCCTAGGGACTCTCAGGACCC